GGGGGGCGGGCGCCCCCCCCCCCCCCCCCCCCGCCGATGCACCTGCACCCTCCCCTGCACTCTCCCACCCAGCCAGCCCCCTCCCACACACTGAACCCTGCTTTTGGCCCCATCACAGAGGGGCCCACAAAATCTACTAGCCTCCCCCCCGCCGGCTCTGCTGAGTGGGGAGGGTCTTTCTGCCCTCAGTCCGGGCCACGTCAGTGAGGTGTTTTTGTTCGGGGGGGGGTTGCTGCTTACCTGTCCGTGGCTCCCAACTGATTTTTCTGGCGGTCAGCGGCCCCCCGACCCCCCCTCCGCCGCCTGCTTGAGCTAAAAGCCAGCTGGCTCTCGGCTGAGGCCCTAGAACAAACTCAGTCTCTCTCCGTAAGTGGTCTCAGTCCCGCTGGCTAGGACAGCGAACCGGCCCCCAGCCTCAGCAGACACGTCTCAGCACCGCCACGCAGCCATGGCCGAGCTCCGCCAGCCGGGCAGATAAACCCAGACCCAGGGCTGGCTCCCGTGCCTGGCTCTCTGCCTTTGTTTACCTGCAGCGCTAGCTGAGCCCAGCAGCTTCCAGATTCCCTCTCAGCACCACACCCCGGCATGGCCGCGCCCAGCCCGCTGCCCTTGTCCCCGGCAGATATAGGCCGGCTGCTTCACGCGGCTGCTGGGGGCAGGAGGGAGATGCTGGGAGCCCTGCGCGCCTTCCCCTAATTAAACCACCAGGGAGGGGATTTGGTTTTTTTAAACATGCGAAATGTTTTCCCTGGGTGCAGCGTTTTCCGCAAGCCGGGGCCACCCCCAGAGGCAGCCAAAGCCGGGCGCTCGGGGCAGCGCTCGGGGTGCGCTGGTTGGGAGCCAACCGTGGTTGTGAACTTGTAACCACAGGGAAACTTGGGGGGTGGAATAACTGTCCCCCTGCCTGGAGCTGGGGGCGGGGGGGAATCACCAGAAAACTCGCCAGAGCAGCAGAGGTCACCGTGGCTCTGAAATGGAGCCTCCCAGTCCCTCAGGGTATGTCTACACTACCCCGCTAGTTCGAACTAGGAGGGTAATGTATGCATACCGCACTTGCTAATGAAGCCCGGGATTTGAATTTCCCGAGCTTCATTAGCATAAGCGGGGAGCCGCCATTTTTAAATCCCCGCTGCTTCGAACCCCGTGTAGCGCGGCTACCCGGGGCTCGAACTAGGTAGTTCGGACTAGGGTCCTATTCCGAACTACCGCTCTCAGAGTCCTTTCATCATAAGCAAGTCCAAGGCATGGGCGGTCAGTCCCTCTGCTAGCCCCCAGGGCCACCACTGTTCCTTGCCGGCAGCCCCCCACTGGGAGGAGGGGAATCCAGTCCCACCCACCCACTCCCTCCAGGTTCCAGCCCAGGGCCCTATGGCAGCAGGGGGGGGAGAGGTAGACCTGAGTGGGTCACAAGGCTGGGCCCTTGCTCCACTGAACAGCGGCCCCTCCCCGGGTCACTTCCCCAGCCCTTCCTGAGCATCCCCTCCCGGTGCCTCGGGTCAACCGGCTGGGCTGCTCCCCTTCGCCTCTCCCCTGGTCCGTCCCTCACTCCTGCCTCCCCCCAGCCCTTCCTGAGCATCCCCTCCCGGTGCCTCGGGTCAACCGGCTGGGCTGCTCCCCTTCGCCTCTCCCCTGGTCCGTCCCTCACTCCTGCCTCCCCCCAGCCCTTCCTGAGCATCCCCTCCCGGTGCCTCGGGTCAACCGGCTGGGCTGCTCCCCTTCGCCTCTCCCCTGGTCCGTCCCTCACTCCTGCCTCCCCCCAGCCCTTCCTGAGCATCCCCTCCCGGTGCCTCGGGTCAACCGGCTGGGCTGCTCCCCTTCGCCTCTCCCCTGGTCCGTCCCTCACTCCTGCCTCCCCCCAGCCCTTCCTGAGCATCCCCTCCCGGTGCCTCGGGTCAACCGGCTGGGCTGCTCCCCTTCGCCTCTCCCCTGGTCCGTCCCTCACTCCTGCCTCCCCCCAGCCCTTCCTGAGCATCCCCTCCCGGTGCCTCGGGTCAACCGGCTGGGCTGCTCCCCTTCGCCTCTCCCCTGGTCCGTCCCTCACTCCTGCCTCCCCCCAGCCCTTCCTGAGCATCCCCTCCCGGTGCCTCGGGTCAACCGGCTGGGCTGCTCCCCTTCGCCTCTCCCCTGGTCCGTCCCTCACTCCTGCCTCCCCCCAGCCCTTCCTGAGCATCCCCTCCCGGTGCCTCGGGTCAACCGGCTGGGCTGCTCCCCTTCGCCTCTCCCCTGGTCCGTCCCTCACTCCTGCCTCCCCCCAGCCCTTCCTGAGCATCCCCTCCCGGTGCCTCGGGTCAACCGGCTGGGCTGCTCCCCTTCGCCTCTCCCCTGGTCCGTCCCTCACTCCTGCCTCCCCCCAGCCCTTCCTGAGCATCCCCTCCCGGTGCCTCGGGTCAACCGGCTGGGCTGCTCCCCTTCGCCTCTCCCCTGGTCCGTCCCTCACTCCTGCCTCCCCCCAGCCCTTCCTGAGCATCCCCTCCCGGTGCCTCGGGTCAACCGGCTGGGCTGCTCCCCTTCGCCTCTCCCCTGGTCCGTCCCTCACTCCTGCCTCCCCCCAGCCCTTCCTGAGCATCCCCTCCCGGTGCCTCGGGTCAACCGGCTGGGCTGCTCCCCTTCGCCTCTCCCCTGGTCCGTCCCTCACTCCTGCCTCCCCCCAGCCCTTCCTGAGCATCCCCTCCCGGTGCCTCGGGTCAACCGGCTGGGCTGCTCCCCTTCGCCTCTCCCCTGGTCCGTCCCTCACTCCTGCCTCCCCCCAGCCCTTCCTGAGCATCCCCTCCCGGTGCCTCGGGTCAACCGGCTGGGCTGCTCCCCTTCGCCTCTCCCCTGGTCCGTCCCTCACTCCTGCCTCCCCCCAGCCCTTCCTGAGCATCCCCTCCCGGTGCCTCGGGTCAACCGGCTGGGCTGCTCCCCTTCGCCTCTCCCCTGGTCCGTCCCTCACTCCTGCCTCCCCCCAGCCCTTCCTGAGCACCCCCTCCCGGTGCCTCGGGTCATCCGGCTGGGCTGCTCCCCTTCGTCTCTCCCCTGGGCAGTCCCTCACTCCTGCCTCCCCCCAGCCCTTCCTGAGCATCCCCTCCCGGTGCCTCGGGTCAACCGGCTGGGCTGCTCCCCTTCGCCTCTCCCCTGGTCCGTCCCTCACTCCTGCCTCCCCCCAGCCCTTCCTGAGCATCCCCTCCCGGTGCCTCGGGTCAACCGGCTGGGCTGCTCCCCTTCGCCTCTCCCCTGGTCCGTCCCTCACTCCTGCCTCCCCCCAGCCCTTCCTGAGCATCCCCTCCCGGTGCCTCGGGTCAACCGGCTGGGCTGCTCCCCTTCGCCTCTCCCCTGGTCCGTCCCTCACTCCTGCCTCCCCCCAGCCCTTCCTGAGCATCCCCTCCCGGTGCCTCGGGTCAACCGGCTGGGCTGCTCCCCTTCGCCTCTCCCCTGGTCCGTCCCTCACTCCTGCCTCCCCCCAGCCCTTCCTGAGCATCCCCTCCCGGTGCCTCGGGTCAACCGGCTGGGCTGCTCCCCTTCGCCTCTCCCCTGGTCCGTCCCTCACTCCTGCCTCCCCCCAGCCCTTCCTGAGCATCCCCTCCCGGTGCCTCGGGTCAACCGGCTGGGCTGCTCCCCTTCGCCTCTCCCCTGGTCCGTCCCTCACTCCTGCCTCCCCCCAGCCCTTCCTGAGCATCCCCTCCCGGTGCCTCGGGTCAACCGGCTGGGCTGCTCCCCTTCGCCTCTCCCCTGGTCCGTCCCTCACTCCTGCCTCCCCCCAGCCCTTCCTGAGCATCCCCTCCCGGTGCCTCGGGTCAACCGGCTGGGCTGCTCCCCTTCGCCTCTCCCCTGGTCCGTCCCTCACTCCTGCCTCCCCCCAGCCCTTCCTGAGCATCCCCTCCCGGTGCCTCGGGTCAACCGGCTGGGCTGCTCCCCTTCGCCTCTCCCCTGGTCCGTCCCTCACTCCTGCCTCCCCCCAGCCCTTCCTGAGCATCCCCTCCCGGTGCCTCGGGTCAACCGGCTGGGCTGCTCCCCTTCGCCTCTCCCCTGGTCCGTCCCTCACTCCTGCCTCCCCCCAGCCCTTCCTGAGCATCCCCTCCCGGTGCCTCGGGTCAACCGGCTGGGCTGCTCCCCTTCGCCTCTCCCCTGGTCCGTCCCTCACTCCTGCCTCCCCCCAGCCCTTCCTGAGCATCCCCTCCCGGTGCCTCGGGTCAACCGGCTGGGCTGCTCCCCTTCGCCTCTCCCCTGGTCCGTCCCTCACTCCTGCCTCCCCCCAGCCCTTCCTGAGCATCCCCTCCCGGTGCCTCGGGTCAACCGGCTGGGCTGCTCCCCTTCGCCTCTCCCCTGGTCCGTCCCTCACTCCTGCCTCCCCCCAGCCCTTCCTGAGCATCCCCTCCCGGTGCCTCGGGTCAACCGGCTGGGCTGCTCCCCTTCGCCTCTCCCCTGGTCCGTCCCTCACTCCTGCCCTGATGCGCTTCGTTCGGAGCCGTCGCGGTGTCTGCAGCCCTGTTCCTGCGCTGCCACGTCGCTCTCCCGGCCTGGCAACCCTACTCGGCTGCAGCTTCTTTGACTCTCCGGCGAGGCTCCAGGTTCTCGCTGGGCTTCCGGACGAGTCCCCGGGGTTCCCCTCAGCGCAGGGGCTCAAGATTATTCTCCCGTTCAGGCGCTAGGCTCCATAGACTGGGAACTTCTGGGTACTGATTTCCCGCTGGGTTTCTAGATTCACCGGGGGCCACAGATTCATTGCTGGGGTTCTAGATTCCCGGCAAGATCACAGGGCTCGTCTGTGCTCTGGACTCTCCTCCCAGGTTCAAGGGTCTCTGGGGAAGCGCTGGGTTCTTTCTGAGCCCCCCCCCCCATGGTGTGAGATTAGTCACTGCTGGCTTAGTGAGGCAATACGCACCACATCTGGATTCTAGGTTGCTAATGTCGGGGGTGTAATAGTCTGGTATAAAGTCTTCTAGCTTTTGCATGTGGGTTTTAAGTCCCCCCCCCCCCCCCCCGGCGTTCCTGGATGCAGTTTTCCCTGTTACCTCTCCTGGGGAAAAAGAATTCCTCCCTTCCTCTACATCCGGGATACTATGTCCAGTTCTGCCCCCTCCCTCCCACCACTACGAGAGGACGTGGACGCATTGGAGAGGGGCCAGCGGAGGCAACCAAAATGACTCGGGGGCTGGAGACATGACCTACGAGGAGAGGCTGAGGGAGTTGGGTCTGTTCAGTCTGCAGAAGAGACGAGTGAGGGGGATTTGAGAGCAGCCTGCAACTCCCTGAAGGGGGGTTCCAGAGAGGCTGGAGAGAGGCAGTGCTTTTTTGTGACCATGGCAGAACAAGGAGCAATGGGCTCAAGTGGCAGTGGGGGGGGTCTAGGCTGGACATTAGGACAGTGGGGAAGCGCTGGGCTGGGTTCCCCAGGGAGGGGGTGGAATCTCCATCCCTAGAGGCCTTGAAGTCCTGGCTGGGATGATTGAGTCGGGTTGGTCCTGCTTTGGGCAGGGGGCTGGACTCGATGACTCCTGAGGTGTCTTCCAGTCCTGGGCTTCTATGACTCTGTGCAGGGGGAGCCAGGGGAAGGCGGTGGCAAAATCTCCCCCACACTCAGAGTAACGCCCCCAGCACCAGCAGGTGCACTACAGGCGATGCTCAAAAGCTCCAGAGGGGCGAGTGAGTCTGTAACAGGATAAACTTAAAATAGTCCGGTAGCACCTCCGAGACGAACACCACGTGTGGCTGGTGCTAGGAGCTTGCATGGGCACAGCCCACCTCTTCAGCTGACCCTGTGTCCTGCTCACCCGCCCAGAGGGGATGAATGGCAACTCCAGCTGTGACTCGGGATCAAGTGCTAACTGTCATTTACCACCCACAGGGCTGGCCTGGGCAGTGAGGCTTGTGCAGCACAGCTGGCAGCCTTTCCCGGGGGCTGCCCCCCAGTGGTCATTCATGAGTATCACACCCTTCCCTTTGGGTTGGTGAGAGAGGATCCCGTCTCATTCCGCCCACATCCCACTGTCCTGGCCCAACCAAAGCCAGGTTACTTCATGCAGCTGTAGTAGGATTCTCTCATAACCCTCAGGCGAGCTTTGATTTAAACCTGCATTCAATTAACCAACCTGAATGGGAGACACAATTGTATCCGGTGCACACATGGAGTTGTGGTTCTTGATTGTGCACTGTCATCACCGACTCACAATGTGGATTTTGACTGAGTCTTTATTCATGCATCCAGCTGTGATATACAGTTGTATCAAAACACTAATCCAGAGCTGGTTTGTGGCTTTTCTCTCATAACCAACCCAGCTGTTATATCACATTTGTACATGCAAGTGTGGCTCATCTGGTCATAGCAAGGCACTTAAGCTGGTATTGATAATGCTCACAAATCCAGTTGTGGTCGACAACTGGCAAAGAATGGCCAGACTGAGGGTATGTCTACACTACAGAGTTTTTTGGGAAAATGGCCATTTTTCTGAAAAATCGTAACTTACATCCACGGTGCAATCACGTTCTTCCCAAAAAAAATTGAAAGAAGACAGGGTTTTTTTCCGACATTGGTAAACTCTTTGGCTGCGTCTAGATTGGCATGATTTTCCAGAAATGCTTTTAATAGAAAAGTTTTCCGTTAAAGCATTTTTGGAACAGAGCGTCCAGATTGGCACGGACGCTTTTCCGCAAAAGCACTTCTAGCAATCTAGACGTGCTTTTCCGCAAAAAAGCCCCGATCGCCATTTTCGCGATTGGGGCTTTTCTGCGGAAAACAAATCTGAGCTGTCTACACTGGCCCTTTTGCGCAAAAGCTTTGTGCAAAAGGGACTTTTGCCTGAATGGGAGCAGAATAGTATTTCTGCAAGAAGCACTGATTTCTTACAGGAGATCGTCAGTGCTCTTGCGGAAATTCAAGCGGCCACTGTAGACAGCTGGCAAGTTTTTCCTCAAAAGCAGCTGCTTTTGTGGAAAAACTGGCCAGTCTAGACACAGCCTAGTCTTTTAACTCTCCTCATATGGGAGCCATTCCATGCCCCTGATTATTTTGGTTTCCCTTTTCTGCATCCTTTCCAACACCAAGATATCATTTTGGAGATGAGCTGACCACATCTGTGTGCAGTATTCAAGATGTGGGCTTAGCATGGATTTATACAGAGGCAATAAGCTATTCTCTGTCTTATTCTCTACCCCTTTCTGGAGTCCCCAAATGCTGTTCGCTTTTCTGACTGTGAGAGCTGACAGGGGAGTGTCCTACACACCTGTCCGGGGGGATTCATACCTCAGGTGGCCAACAGAAGGGAGTAATCCACCTGCCTAGCCAAGCTGCACTGATGTCCTGCCTGTGTGCACATGGACAGATGCACGCATGGACACACACACAAACATGCAAACAGAGACAGACATGTATGCACAGATGCATGTACACAGAGACAGGCACACACCCATGCAGGGCCGGCCTTACCATGAGGCGAACTGAGGCGGCCACCTCAGGTGCCAGACTGGGGGGAGGGGTGCCACTAGGACCCCAAGTGTAGGAAATTGTGTCTGCTCCTGGTGCATCTATATTCTCTCTGCTCTAGATGCACAGAGATGGTGGGGTGCTGTGCTGGAGGAAGGAGGGCACAAGAGACATAGGCAGGCAGGGGAAAAGGGGGCATGGGGCGTCATTTGAGCTCCCTGCCTCAGGTGCCAAAATGTTGTGGGATGGCCCTGCATCCACGCAGACAGACAGACACAGACGTATAGTCGCACACACGCAGACGTGCACACACAGACATGCACAGCCAGGCTGGGTATGGGAGTTCCTCACTTGTTCTCTCCTGAGCTAATGGGTAGCAAGTTTAAAACTAATAAAAGAAAGTTCTTCTTCACACAGCGTGTAGTCAACCTGTGGAACTCCTTGCCAGGGGAGGCTGTGAAGGCTAGAACTAAAGAGAAACTAGATAATTTAATGGAGGTTAGGTCCTTAAAAGGCTGTTAGCCAGGGGATAGAAATGGTGTCCCTGGCCTCTGTTTGTCAGAGGCTGGAGATGGATGGCAGGAGACAAATCGCTAGATCATTGTCTTCGGTCTACCTCCTCTGAGGCACCTGGTGCTGGCCACGTTGACAGCTAGATGAACCTTTGGCCTGACCCAATATGTCCGTTCTTATGTTCTCTCCAGGCCCTGGGGCCAGACAAATTGGCTGCATGCCCCCCCTTCCACACACACACATACACAGACACATGGGGGTTAACCAGAGGTCGAGGGTTCGAGCCCTGCCCTGGCACTCTTGGGGGCCCAGAATGTAGGGAGGTTGGAGAGCTCCTCCAGTGGCACAGTAGATAAGGTACCTGCCTTCAGAGCACCCCATTTCTACAGACAGCTCGGCACCTAGGCCACATGCCCCCCACCAACCCCCATGTCTATAGACAACATGGCACCTACAGCAAATATACCCCTACCTACACCCCATTACTACAGACAGCACAATGTCTACAGCAGAACATAAGAACGGCCGTACTGGGTCAGACCAAAGGTCCATCTAACCCAGTATCCTGTCTGCCGACAGTGGCCAGCACCAGGTGCCCCAGAGAGGGTGGACCGAAGACAATGATCAAGCGATTTGTCTCCTGCCATCCCTCTCCAGTCTCTGACAAACAGAGGCCAAGGACACCATCTTATCCCCTGG